GGGGGGTGGGGGGGGACTAACAAGCAAAACAAATAAAATACACTGCTATCTGCAAGAGGAGGAATGATAGCCGTGTGACACAAAGCTACATGCCAGGCACAGCTGCAAGAGCTCTCTCATGTTATTCCTTCAGCTGGCTGGCGATCTGGGATATTTCTTACTATCATTGCTTTAGATTAGGGGATGGAAGCCTGGAAAGGACAAGCTTCCTCAGATTTATGCACAGGCAGCATTGAAACCCTTCAGGAAATCACTGCTGATTTGGTCCCCTGTTCTTGGGCATCTGTAGCCTATATCTGGATGCGCCACCACAAACTGGTCCCTGTGGTAGCCTCTAAGGGCAACAACAAGCAGTCAGAAGCCCTGGGCTGGGCAGGAAGCAAGACTTTATTCTAAATACTCTTGGGGTTCTCTGAGACCCCACTGTTTGTTTGGAGACAGAGTCTCATTATGCACCCCAGGCTGGCCTCCAACTTGAAGCAATCCTCCTGCCTCAGCCTCTGAGTTCTGGGATTACATTTACACACACACACACACACACACACACACACACACACACACACCTGCTCCCTTTGGACTTTAGGATGACTTAGGGAACACAGCAACGGTGGCCGCTCTTGGCCCACCCTATCTGGAGGTCTGCTTGCCCATGGGGCCCTGAGGGTGGGATGGGGTGAAGCAACCGCACCCCTGCACCCCTGCTGGACATCTGCTGCCCTGTTTCCTCTTTCTGGCAGATGAACGAGCTGAGGCCTCCTGGATGGAGGTGCCACCCTGCGGAGCTCTGCTTCCTCCCAGGTGCGTGGCGCCCGCGGCAGCCCAATCTGTCACTGCCCTGGGGACTCAGGTGCCGCTGCCCTTCTGGGCTGTGTCCCTGACTCCCCCACGCAGGTCATCTGCGCTGCCCCGTGAGCGACCCGCCCACGCCCCCAGTCATCTGGGCCCAGCCTCCGCCCTGCCAGACGCTCTGTTTGGATTCCTCCACTTGAAAAATTTTGTTTAGTTTTCTGCTCCTGGGGGTGGAATAGGGCAGCCAGGGAAGCGCCCGGATGTGGAGCCACGCCCCAGCCTGACCTGTGGAGTTAGGCATTTTGGGGGCGCAGCTATAGGGCTTCCTGCTGGGGGAAATTTCCGGGGTCCCAGCTTTGTGAGGAGGCTGGGGCTCTTATTCCTTCACAGTGTTTTCCTTTTTG